AGGAGAAGAAGAAAGGAGAAAACAAAAACCCTTCCGCGACCGGGATTCGAACCCACGCTCAATAGATTAATTGAATGACTTCAAACGCAGACACGCTGTCCATTCGGCAATCAGAACTTCCGACATAGAATGGTATATTAAGCTTCATATTTACAGCACTGTTTCAGGAAAGGCAACGCAACATAGATCTAGATCAAGATGAAGTTTTTTGACAACGAAGAAAGTGAGAAAGTTGGAAACATGTGTGTGTGTGCGGGGGGGGTATCAATGAGGTGGCGGGCATGGGATTGGCAGATACGGTCTGGAGGAAACTAAAAAATGGCTCAAAATTGAAAGAAGTGAACATTAGAGAACGTAGACAGCTTGTATACATTCTCTAACGTTAGAGAACGTACACACTTCCTTTTCGGTAACTGCCGATTTTATCAGCTGTAACAGTCTGTCGGTGAAGAAAGTACCGATCTCATCGGCACGTGTCAGTCATAGGGGCTTAGCCGTCCTTATTACTCTCTTGCAACACCTCTAAATGAGTAATTTCTTTTCTTCTCCTAAAAAATAATTGACGTCACTTATTCGATCAATCACGAAGGCGACTTTGTGTTGTAGCGATTTTCATTTGAGATAATAACGTGTTAAAAGCGACTGATGGCTTCTGACTGTTGGATCTAACAAAGCGGGATTACTGTTAGATCTAGATCTAGGCAGCAGATGGCGAGTATCGAATGTAAGAGACGCGAACAGTAAACAATGAACGTTGCTGAGAGACGGAGGGCGCTCTCGTGGTCAAGAGGTTACGGTGTTCGCCTCTCATTCAATAGGTCTCGGGTTCGAATCCGGAATTGGGACGGAACATTTTCTTCTCTTCAATTTTTCTCTTTTCACATTTTTTCCTTTTCTCTAACAATGTTCTATTGCCTGCTTTCGTCTCCACTTTCAGTTACCATCCCCTCACTTCCTTTGGCCCCTCCTCTGTGCTCTTGACTCTTTCTGCAGCCTTTCTACTGCATATTTGTACTAGGCCTCGGCTTCTTCTTACTACTGTCTTTCAGCCACACCCCTGATCTTATGGTGGGTAAGATCTAACACCCAGCCTTCTCGGATCAGGGGGAAAATGTTGGAGGTCCCTTGTGCAAGTTGTGCACGTTAAAGATTCCTTGGTGGTCCAAAATCAACAAGAGTAGGCTTCGGCCGCCACCAGGGCAAAATTCAAAATTTCTTACCAACTGAAAATGTTTGATGTGTCCCCCGCGTTCATATGACTTTACGCGGTTGCGAGCGCCGTAAAACACTCACCATTAAAAAAAAAAAAAAATGAGAGACAGAATAGCTTTCTCTAACTCGGAGACGATGATGACGTCATAGCTTCGGTGTTTTCGTATTGTTGAATTTGAACTTTCCTATGCTGCATCTGAAGTGACAATGATTTGGCGCTCATATGACCTTAGGCAGTTGTGAGCGCCGTAAAACCTTTACTAAAACTAAAAACTAAGTGACAACGACGAATTTTCTTTTTCCAGTGTTTACATGACCTCTCGTCTAGCATCTGAATACGTTTTCCTTTGCGTCAAAAATTGAGCTGTCTAGGTTAAATCAATATGACAATTTGGATATCTGAACTTTCATTGCTGCATTTGAAATCTTTATCTTGATATTTGTTCGGGGAAAGGTGTATTAACAATAAAAGAAACAATATTTTGAATGAATATATAATATCATCTACAGTGAATATTGAAATATCTTTTAAATGAGAAACGAACTATTTTTCGAATAAACTATGCATCATCACCGACAGTAAAAAAAACATACTAAAATAAAAAAGGACAAAAACAGAATCTTATTTTTTATAAATGATGGTATTTTTTCTGTCGTTTTTCATAAAAGTTAAAAATTTCATCAATATAATTGAAAAGCAAACTTTTTTCTTCGAGTAAATCAACAACATCATCACATTAGGTTTTGAAAAAAAATATTTGGAGCAGGTTAATATCAGCATTGTAAATGAAATTTAAAAAAACCCACAAGAAAAACCTTTCGAACCAGCGCAAGCAATGTGGACACACAATAAGTAACACAAACATTATTGGAAAAACAATCAAAGCCCAACAGAGCCTGACCTTCCCATCATTAACCTCATAAACAATTTAACCATGGCAGCAAACACATCAGCGTAAGTGGTTCAGCAGTTAGTTAGGAGCTAGTCGTGTAAGTCACACGTGTGTACTGTCAAAGTGAACGTAGTAACAATTGTAAATCAAAGGTTTCTTTTGTCAAGTTGAATACAATAATTATGTCGTATAACAATGTTTGTTAATCATAAGTTTTTGTTGTTGTAAAGTTGAACATAATAACTATTGTAAATCACACGTGTGTTTTGTCAAGTTGAACAGACTGTAAATTACACGTGTGTTTTGTCATGTTGAACATAGCATTGTAAATCACACTGCGTTCATCGGTGTCTTGGTGTTGCAGTTAAACGCTTCGCTGTTCCACGCAGGAGACCAGAGTTCGATTCCCAGCCCATATCGGGAGCCTTTTAAAAAAATTTAGCATCTCGGTGTTTCTGCTGGAATAATGTCGTATCCCTCTCAGCGCGGGTTGGCCCTGACAGGCAGGGTCGAAGGCCGTCTCCTGAATGATCTAAATTGTGTCGATGGGGGTGTAAAACATCGACACTAAAAAAGAAACCAATAACAGCCTGACTAGACAGGTGTCTGTCTCCTAACGATTATGCGTCTTAAGATAATACTGTAAATCACACAAGTCTCTTTTTTTTTTTTCAAAATTGAACACATCGCATCGCTACGCTAGAATTGCAAAGTTCCATCTGCTCAGTACCTAGTTTCGAGTAGAGCTGGGCGAAGAATTGATTCCGGAACCGATTCCCACGATTAATGCTACGGAAGAAAAGTTCAGACTCCTTTTTAAGTAAACCGACGGTTATCAGTTACTTTAATCATTCAAACTTTAAAAGTTATTTTTGAAAAATAAAAGTTGATGCTTTGTAGTGTTCCAAAATCAAGGTTATACTAAATCCTGAAGATTTTCGATGCCAACCAGGTAACCACTGGAAGAAATCACGTTATTAAAATGTAAGTAATTGGGTTCGGAGACGATTCCTACGATTCCTATCTTTCAGTAATCGGGAACGTAGCCGCCCAGCACTAGTTTCGAGACATTCGACGTCAAGTTTTTTTAAGGTTCACAACATGACAAGCTTTTTCGAATGCAAGTCTTTGAATAATTGATAACGACCGCGAATAATCATGCGAGTTTGATAGACCAGATAGAACATTAATTGTTTTCTGACCGCATGTTATTATTTAACTCAAAACGGCCAAAAAATATCAGACAGATCTTTGTAATTTTGAGGTAGCGACACTGTAAATCACACGAGTCTTTTATCAAACTGAGCACTCAGTAAATCACTTTCTCCGCAGACAGTGGAGCGCCCTCTACATCTTGTCTGCGCCTCTTTGCAGACGACAAAAGCCAGGGTCAGCAGAACCAGCCCACAGACCACCAGGAAGAGCCCAGAAGGAGGCGGGAAACACAGAGCTCCTGCCTCCCTCTCCATCTCCTCGTACGTCTCTGTCATGTGACTTGGGCTGTCGCTCCTACACGAAAATCGATGACTTAATCCACATGCTGAGTCACTGCAGATTTCGTCGTTTGTAAACCCCGCGTGGTGCATGACGGTCACGTGAGCCTTAGCCGCGCAGAAACCCGTGACGTAGACATCTTCGTGCACCAAAATTGGTTGTCTCAGAGATGTCTTGTAGATGTGAGCGGCGGCCGATGACGTCAAAGAGTAGGCGTGTCCTTCCACGAAGTCCGGCACTCGCCAGTGTGGGTAGAACAGCTCTCTGACCCACCAGCTCAGGCTGTTGTCCCTGATGGGAGTCAGACTGCGCATCACGTGACCCAGCACGAACGTTGTGTGTAGTAACCTAGTGTGCTGCAGCGCGTGTAGAAGAGTGTGTATGTTGATGAACGTATCGTCTGTTGATTTGAGGACAAACTCCGACTTAGGACAGTGGAGAGCGACAAATTTGAGAATCGCGACAGTCTTCAGGGCGAGATTCTCCGGAACGTCGTAAAACGATTCTTGCACGATGTCCTCATGCTCGCTGGCCTCTCGCTCAACCGCCCGCATCAGATCTGAGCGGCCAGGGTTCGAGCCCAGGAAGAAAAGAAGGACGGCGTTGTAGGAGGCTAGGTGAGACTTTGCGGCGAAAGTCTCCCTGATGGCACGTCTGTGCTCGGGGTGGGAGGGGTCAGAGGTCACAGCGACCACCAGCTGAACCTGTGACCCCTGGTCGGGGCATGGGGAGATGGCAGGAAACACGAGGTACCTGTAGGCGTGGAAGAGCGCGGTTTGAATCTTTAGTAGTTTTAGTAGAGGTTTTACGGCGCTCGCAACTGCATAAGGTCATATGAGCGAGGTTTGAACCTGGGAATTAGTAACCAAGACATGATAATGATAATAGGGATAATAATAATGATAATAAT